ATACATTAGACCATCATTTATTATACTCAACAATTTTTGGTGACGTCGATCCGTTAATTATCAATTAGAAGAATGGATCTTGACTAGGAATATATTCATATCCAATTTGAAAACAAATATTTAGAATTTATAGAAAATACAGGACATTTTAGTTATATTTATTATCTGTCATTTGGGGTGTTTTAGAGCCTCAATGTGAGGGGAATAGGTCCAAATGGTGCACAGTTTAATGCTTCTAAGGTTGTGCCTATAGGCCTGGGAGATTTTGTGTTCTTTGTTAGTGTAGTTTATGTTGCAGTTAACATGGGGTTTTGTAGACCCACGTATTTCAGTTTGTGAGGGCAGCCAGCTTGGGAGATTAACGCTCAGTTAGCTAAACTGTGTGCAGTATAGAGTTAGTCCCCAAGTTGAAATACACCCATCGTGTTTCAGTTAGAGGGCTTAAAAGCTAGTTTCAAGCGCACATCTTCCAGATGAGAACGCAATATTGCTCAAATCATCGCTAGACGAAAACCCACTACTTTGGACATTCATGGGTTGTTTTCGGTGTATTTCTTGGCATCAATCAGATAACTATGGTAATCACACAATTGTTTTGATTCTGACGTTGATTCTTACTATACTCAAGTTAACATTACTTCTTGAGAAACATTTTTAATTTTGTGCGAGTTAAATCGATCTTGTTTGAATTTTAGATTATTACCGTAATACTATCGTACTTCTAACTAAACGTTCTGCAAGCTCCAAATGTACTGAAATTTTGACAGTAAAAATATACCAAGCATATTTGGATTCTTGGAATACCAGCTTGAACCGTTTCGCGAACCTTAATAATGCTTTTCTGTTTATAATAAATCTTATACTTTACTTCAATTATCTTCCTTACTTTAAGTGTCATCTAAAAGGGAGTCGGTACTCACAGAACGTCTGATAAAATTACCGGAACGTTTTCATTGAAAGCTCTATTAAGAAGGAAGAGGTGAAGAAAAGGTTTTGGCGTTAATAGCATTCGCCATAGTCACATCAGAGCAACTATAAAACGTTAACCATTAGCAAAGATACTAGAAATACAAGTAAAATGAGGCGGAAGTCGTGCCCAACGTAGGCGGCGCCCTTCTTTTTAACCATGCAAGTTTCCTATACTTCGTGCCCAACGTACAGGGCGCCCTTCTGTTGCTAAGTATATCCAGACGCAAAAGGCGCCCTTCCTAATGGAGGAAAACTTTTTCACTAAGAGTGCGTCCGGCAATGCGATTCTGCGCTGTATTGTTGTTTTATTCTTTACTGATTCATGATTATGCTTTAATTGTTTTGTGTATTATTTAGATAATAGCAACGATTTCTACCGCCACCAAGGAGGTTATGTATTCACCATGTCACTGTCTATTCCAGTTTGTTTTTATATCTAGTATCTTTGTTGAGAATTGGTAATAAAATACGCGACGACTTGGTAACGAAAGTTTGGCACAAGTTTTTTTAGATCCAGCTGTAGGGGGCGTCCCATTTTTCGTATTCCCACCATGCATTTCGGTGGAACACGGTGGAACACTTTTTTTGTGTGGAGAACTC